GGGGGGGGGGGGAGTAAGGGGGACTGGCTAAACCTGAAATGGAGGTCAGCCGAGGAATTCTCTTTGTTTCCTGGTGTATTTCGCAGGACTTTGAGTTTGCCGCGACTTGGCTTACACAACGGAATCCTTCCGTGAAGTATCTAGGAGTACCCCGAATTCTGATGAAGAAGGGTCAAGTTAATGGCTCGATGATTTTTAATAGTTCTATTGAAAATATAACAATTTCAATTGTCATAAATTGCACGATACGTTGATTCATTGGATACGAAAACTTTTGACTAATTAAAATATCCACCGCGATACTACAGGTTCCAAACTGTAATGACCGATTGAGTCGTACCGGCTACTTTCGTGTAATTCTTGAAGTACGGTCGGCCATTTGCATATAATAAATAAAAAATTGAATTCCTCTTGCCTGTAACATTTAACAAATCCTCGTATCTTACACGCTCAGCGTTACGGTCTTACGGCGCCAACAGAAAATGTATTAAGCTCTCACGATAATTCCAATTCGTTTCACATCCAAGAGATGGCAGCACTGCGTTCAGTCATACGTCTCAATGCAGGTTCGGACGCGCAAGAACAAAGTTTCATAGAAACTCGCCAATTTCTAATATTAATACTCCAAAATTATGATTGCGTATAAAAACGAAAATTGACAATATTTCTTTACATAACGTCCAACAAATCTAATAAAAAATTTATACACAAAGTCGTCGTAAGCACGTAAACAGTCATATGCAATTTTGACTGTTTTATTTTAACAAAATTTTACTCTAAAACCACGTCCAGTAATCGTGACGTGATATACGATTGTTATTATATAAAGTAGCATATCACATTCTCACATACCAGACGTAACAGATGTGCTCAATCGCATGTGCAATAATCGTTAAGTTGCGCTAACGAACCGAGACGATACTTGACTCTTGCGAAAAGCCCGTCCATCAGGCTCTTTGTTATAAAGAAAGATGCTCCTTCCGATAAATATCGAGCATTTAATAATTGCAATTAGGCCTCGCAACGGGCACGCGTCCTTGGACGTCTCCGAGAATAACGTCGCTTGGCAATAAATCATATTTATTTTCCTAGAGTAACACCGGCTCTTATCGACGAACAGGAAGATTACGTTCGGCACTTTTGTTAGAAATATCTTCGTTTTTTTTTTTTTTTTCCAATTTTTCCAAAGCTACTCGCTCACTTTCTCAAGCGATATATATATATATACATATTCCTTCTAGATATTTATTATTCATGAGAACTGATTGCTGACCGATAATGTATACACTGTTTACGATAATTAAGTATTTTTCCATAAAGGACTCGCGGCGGCGTCTCTCACGTAAATATTGCACTGCACTCTTTTTACCTTCAGGAATATCCTAACGAGACTCCTTACCTTTAAGCAACGTACCAATGTAATCGCAAGCTTTACGAGCACCCTGACCATTATATATGTCGCCATGATGAATTTTGAACTGTCATGAATATTCACAGTCTCGACTTTACGTACCTCGGGCGTCGCTTACTGCTTACTTACGATAATTCGAACGAACGTGGCTATCGGTACTATTAATTCTATTATATTAAACGAACGATCCGGGCAAAAGACAAAAGGCTCGTGTCTGTTCCTGGTTTATGGCGATCGTTTTACATGAATTAACATTTCCTTTTTATTTTTCATTCTTTCTCGCAAATATCAATGAAACACGGTTATTAGTTTATCACGTATAAAAATTGTGGTCCGTTAATGTATAATACGTATAGTTCGTGTATCGTAATATCCTATACAGAGAAATTGATGATCTTAGTTGTCCTGAAGACTTTCAAGTGACTACTATATATATATATATATATATACAGTACAGTCCTTATCACTTCCCACGATGCTTCCTTATTTCTCAGTGGCTCTCATTACGTCTTATCCCTTTTTTCCTTTCTCTTGTCCACTAGTTTCCTTACCGACTGTACCTGGCTCCTTACGTGGCTTAAAACGGAAACTTTTTGGCTTGAAAATTGGACGTTTCGCTTTTCACCTCAATTCACCATGACGAGCCGGTAGGTATGTGTTTTATAATTAAATTAAATTTACTTGCGTCGCCCCCAATTTCCCATCAGCCGTGGAAAATAACTTGCGCCATCTTAGCCCCATGAATATTTAACGCCCGGGCAAATCGTGGCTGTTGAATAATTTTTTGATCGACGGTACGTAAAGTTTTGTTCACGTGCAACGTACGCCACACGAGGTACTCCGTTGAGACTATTAACCTTTGAGTTTGAATTTTTCTTTTGTTGGTAGTATCTTATTTTTCTTTTTTTTTTTTTCTTCTACAAATCTCACGGGCCCCTCTCGAAATCGATGCCCACTTACGCCCACGTGATTTTGACAGACCCGAAAGAACAATGGACCGTGATGATTCGTATGGGCCGGACAATCACCTTGTACCCAATTGGGTTGGTCCGTGCGCGGGGTATCTCGCAACGATCCTCGTTCGGAACTAATGGCAAATGTCAATACGAAGACGAGACAATAATAGACGAAGGTAATTTTAATGGGGCTGTAACGAGTGGGTGGCGACAGCAAGAAACGGTAAGGCGAAATCGTTAGCTCGATTGGCTCTGACGATGCTGGTACTAACGAGACTTGTAAAATGTGAAAATTTACTGTGTAGCTCTCGTGCCTACGTTCGCACTGTTTACCCAAGGCACATTGAATATGCTGTCCTCGCAGTCAAAGCCGGAGCGGAGCATTTTTTTCGTTTTCCTTTTTTCGATGCCGTTTGCTCTTTTTTTTTCCTATTATTTTGCATCACGAAATCCTTGAATTTTCATTTCATCTTGTTTCTCGACTTTTCCTACCTCCGAATCCTACCGACGGCTTCGATAGACGAAGCGTCCACGTGCATCGAGTGTCTTACGTACCGTGTAGGCACGTCGGATGCAGTCAACGCGTTGGGAGTATAGGGGTGTCCCGTCCATAGAGCTAATACGGATAGAGCAGACAAGCCATAGGCTGCTCCGCAAGTGGAAGTGTCCGTTCGCTCATAATGAGAAAGAAAGAGATAGCTGAACCCCTTTAGCTATCCGTCTTTGCACCCTGATTTGCATCTATCTCTCTCTTCGCCGCTGCCGCGTCGAGAGCTGGCTTGTCTGCTCTGTCCGTATTAACTCTATGGTCCCGTCCCAAACAGGACACCTGAAGTTGCCGCGAACGAAAACGAGTTTCCCCATCGTTATCGCGGCCGAAATCCAGCGATATCGTCGGGCTGTCAAATATTTCGACATTTTGACGTGTCTCACGTAAATTGACACTGACTCGAAAATCAAGGGCTGGACTTTCCAAAGTGATCGGATCTGCCGGATGACCTATCCTTCTATATGGTATCCGGTAAGATTACTGATGAGCTTCAATATGCGTTCAATTAGTTTTACACCTGCAACGATAACCTATCGATGCTCTTCGCTTGTCTCTTTTCGCTTTATGGTTTAGCAGAGAAAACGAAAGATACGTCATATCTATATCGTCCGTAGAACGTGATCAAAAAAGTTCCAGCCCTCTCCCCACTTGCTACGTGGAAGTTACAGCACCTTTTGGAAATCCTCCATCCGCCGAGACTGAGAATCAGGAAAAAATGGCCCAGGATTGAAAGACGAGTATAATATATATATATATATATATATTTTTTTTTAAAGCATACAGACAACTGTCGCAACGGTCGCATTAAGTATTCATGAAAAACAGTATTGGAATGACAGTCAAATCAAGAAGTGTCGAATCTATCGACGAGTTTCCTACGTACGTTTAATGTATGTGAGATTTGAATACGTCTGACGTTACTACAATGGCGGGACGTCTAGCGTCGTCAGGGCCGTAACGGCAGGTGGGCTTTTTGTGGGTTTCGACAAGGCCATAGTTCGAGGCGGAATAACCAAAGCGCGTCAATCCTATTATTCGCATAATCCTCGTGCATGCGTTACAAAGCCACCTGGTGTCTCGTATTATTATGAATTAACATCGCGCGACTCGTGTGTCTCGTCACGCGTCGAGACACTCGATCTTCCAGTACATCGATGAAGCATTCCCAAAAGAAGCCTGGCACGACCCAGCAAGCGTTAATTTAAAATCGGGTATACGAAAGTCGACCTTTCTTGCATTAACGAAATATTTGACCTCGAATAGATAAGCGCTACCGACAGGACGACGCAATCGTTGAACCCATAGAGAAATATGTTAATCCCACGAGACATGCGATGATCGATGAAAATAATGTCGATACGCGAGTCCTCCTTAAATTTTGACATATCCGATTGCACGTATTTAATACAATCTTAGGTCAAAGGTCAACCCTAGTAGTAAGAACATTAGACGCCCTAAGGCCGTCAAAGTCGCCAGGACGTTATTGGTGAATATAACGAATTTTCAAAAATCTACGAAACAGCGAATTTACAGTGTCGGTAAATACCGAGAGGACTTTGATATTCTGGTATTTTTAATATATAAAAAAAAAAAAATTTTTTTTTTTTTCATTCGTATAAATAATGAAATTGCACTGGCGGTTTCATGCATATGTATGAACCGTGTGTATGTAATACGTATACGTAATGGCTCCCGTGGAAATCGCTAATGCTCGGCTGGACTGGTAAGAGGCACAGTAATAACAGTCGGCGATCGGTACGATCGACACTTCTCATTACGCCAAACGTTTAACGGATAATTCTCGACTAATGCCGGAGTCATTAGTAATCGCGATGGATAGTGTTTCCACGTGTGCTTATATTATAATAGCTTGTATCGGCTCTCGCGTGTGCATACGTAGCGTGCAATTTTCTATTGGTGGATATATGCGTGGCCCAAGACTATTTGCAAGAAAGTCGTTCGTTCCTGGCGAACGGATCGGTGACGTATATCGGTGTAGAATTTTAAACTGGTTAAAACGAAAAATGAATTACGGGGAAAATGTGTTTGTTGATTGCAGAGCAGAATTGCGCAACTTCATGAGACCCGATTCGTGGGACGCGTGGGTGGGACGCGGTAGGTGTCCATTACGAAATGCCTGCTCGCTCGCACGGGCCCTTTGCTTCCCTTTGCCATTGTGAAATCCCCGTTGGGCTTTCTTGCTTGTAAACAGCATCGTACGCGGATATGGTAATTGTGTCATTGGGTCAATGATTCGTCAAGCGGACATTTCTTTCCTTCTTACGTGCCTCGAGTGATTCTCAGCTTTAAATTTGTCAAGCTTTCAATACTCGCGGTAACTTGGATACCCGTGACAGCGTGGTTACGTCATTCGAAATATTCTTTGTATTCCTAATGAAAAAAAAATTTATCATTCTTATTTTAAGGTTTAAATACGTTAAATTGCCTTTTGAAATTTATACGTACTTTTTGAAGCTTCTGTAGTCCGATAGAGTCATCGAGAACAAGACGGCTAATTACTAAACATTTACGCATATTGTCTCGATTATGTTCGTATATATATATATATACTGTGGTAACTTAGCAACCGCGTTATTAACAGGTACAACTTTTTACAGTGGCTTCTTGTCGATAAGAAAAACAACGAAGTCACTCGTACCTCGCTCGTAAAACGTCCAATTAAAAAACACGTTCGGGATTTAACGTTTGAAAAATGAGAAGAGAATTTTGAGTATCGTATAAAAAAAAAATTGTTGTTTTATTATCGCAAAAATTTCATTACGACCCACCTCTGCGATAAACGATACCCTCGTTCGTCAGGATTTCCATAAATATCTTTGAAAGCAGCCATAGATCGTCCCGTACAATCGCATCGGTCTCCAACGTTACCTATGGGTCAAGGTACGTCGTTTCCATTGTCTAGCCTGGTACAGTACGCGCATAATTAACATCTATTTATCCAGATAGTACAGAGGCGATAGCGCTAGTTGACTTCACTGCCACGGCGGGTACGTTGATATATGTCGGCGCAGTGTTTTACGATACGGTCTACCACGTGAGATACGCGAATGTCGTCCAATGGTTGATCTCGATATAATCTGCAAGGATGAAAAAAAAAACCACACAGCATACGTTTCAATTAAGCGAGCGATTGTTAATGAAATATTTGAAAAATTGAATAAAAAAATTTTTAGGCGGGACACAAAGCAATTTATCAAAAATACGTATGAAGTCACGCTTAGCGCTGACCTTTATGGTGGAATGTTAATTTAATGGGAAAAAAAAAAAAAAAAACCATCTCTCGACTCTGTTGCCTCGGCGCAAGGATAACCGTGGGACATTAATAACGGTTATCGAAAGTGCACGGCAACAAATCAAACCGAGAGATCTAATTTGTTATGGAATAAGTGGATAGATAACTCACCGACGGAATGGAAAGGACCCGGCCCATAGTCAGCCGTGTTTATATATGTCCAATAAGAAGCGACGTACACGTTATGCCGTGACACCTGCGGGGATCGTTGCTGAGCTTGCTTCCTGGAAAGAGAGGAATGTTTTTAAAGATTTTCAAGATTCGGTTACAGTCCAGTTTACATACGGGAGATGACTAATGGCTGCTGAGACGGCAAAACCAAGTCTTTTACCTTTATGCATCGTTCAGGTGACGCAAGGGACTCGTCGTGCTGACGTATTGCTTTCTTCTCTTAGCTATGCAGGTCGGATATGGAGCACGGGACGTTGTTTAATGTTCGTGAAGAAATTGGAGGGTGGTTCGGCTCCTTAAGTTACGTTAATGGTGCCGTCGCGGAGATCCATGAGAAAACTGAGATAGCGCCCACGCTGGACCACACAAGATTTTCTACGACGGTGGCTTCGGCTTTGAAAATTGCTAATGCGATTATAATTCTCTCTGCCGAGAGCGATCGTGGCAGTGTAGATACTTCGGTCGTTAGTACGGATGCTGGATGGACCTGTGTGGTACACGTGGTCGTCGCTTTTCAGACATTAATGGTATCGTTAGACAGACACGGATATAGATGCTGTCACAGTGACGTCGTGCGTGATTTCGGGCATATTGCAAAAAATTATTCACCGTATATGTATACACAGTGCCAAAATTTATGGAGGATAAATTCAGTAGGATTTTCAGTAGTGTCGAAAGAATTGCGTGCGATATGAGAATCGGCAATAAAAAATTAAATTGTCTGTCAGCTGAATTTTTGGCAACGTGTAAAATAATGGGAATTGACAGTGAGGTCACTGACCTCGTGAAAGAGGTTGTTAAACTTTGACATTACGTACATTAGAATTAGAGTACAACGAACGTAGACCCGCGGTAAATTTGATTAATATAAAATCAGATCGGTTGTCGAATAAGGGTCGGGTGCAGGTAAGAAAAGTTAACTGGGTTCAACCGTAGCGGCGACCCTCGTGTTAATAAGATTTTACGTTAAGAGAAGGTCTGGTTTTGGAAAGTCTTGAAAAAGGGGTTTTAAAATATCCGTGGCTACGTGACGGATTAGGTGTGGATATATTTAAGCATTGGTTAGGGTTGGGGTTTTGATTAATGTACTGGAGGAGGCTGAAGGTTTTCACTGCCGTGTACCCGAGTCTGAGTCGGGAGTCAAAAGCGCGTCCTCTTGATGGGAAGCACGTGTCGCTGGGTAGGGAGCTGCGAGTCTTAACGAATCCACAAAGTTCTGTCACTCGGCGTCTTATCGGTCTGTTATTCCAGTACGAGACAATGTATTTCTGTCCAGAGTGCACAGCGCACGAGAAGTATCGCGCGCTTCGAATGCCGGTATTTCCTGTACACTCCTTGGCGTATGCTAATGTATGTACACGATTCGCGGAGACCGTACTATGTACTCTCTGTCTGCCTCGAGTGGGTGTATACCGTAGCGCAGCACAATAACACGACGCGTGGCTGGAATACATTTTGCTACCGGACCGACGGGTTATGAAATCGAGTTCGGAGAGTCCGCCATTACTTGGCTGAGCCATGCTGCTTACTGACTGACGCAGGTCTGGACGCGTCGAGGGTGTGCGAGAAATTGGGCTGTTTCTTCTTGAAAACGCATAACGCGCTGCGAGAGACGGGTGGTTGGAAAGTACGAGGGAGGACAATGGAAATTGGCGTTGTTGAAAGTATAATAATTAATAAGACGTAATTCTTCTTCGGACTTACCAGGTAACTGACAAAATAAAACATCACGAAATTTACGTTCTCGCGACTCGCAATTGCGATTTAGAATAATTCTCTGTGTTTATATTAAAGCTGTTTAAAGACTTGTATTATTTCTTTACTTTTATCTTAGTTCGTCGCGTCGACGACAGAGCGCGCCTCGATCGCCATAATAAACCGGCGAAATTTGAAGCAGACACAACACTGCTCAGTTGACGTTTTATACCATCCATGTAAAATACAGTCTAACCCCAATTTTAAGGTTTCTAATCTCTAACCATTGTCCCCTTCCTGCCGAGTTTACCAGTACGACTTACGGTTTTTCCCCCACTCAAGTAACACCAGACTCAACGGTTAGTGCAGCGCGCGCCGCCATGCCGGATTCCTGTCTTCGGGCGCTTGCTTTCCACTCGGTGCGTTCCTTGCTCGAAGTTTCGACTACCTTACGTGCATAATTCACTGTAATTCGCAAGAGTAAGAGTCCAGTGCGGTTAGTTAATGTATCATTATGTGTCAAGTCACTCGAGTGTCCCTGATACGTGTCGTGGCGTATCTGTCAATGTAAAAATTTCTCGTAAAGATTCACGAGCCAAAGTGACGGCACTGGCAACGCTTCCAGCGGCAGTTTTGACAGTTACCATTCCTGGATTTGTTTGACTTTCGGCTTGGCTGTACGACTGTCGTTCGTCAAGGTCACGCCTGTGCGCGCGCTCCTCGATGCTCCTCTTTCGTACAGCTTGACTCTGCTAACAGCTGTTTTCCGGCATTGGATACTAAGGTACTGGCTACACCTTCGCGTAATGACTACAGTCGATACCTTATCGATGAAAATAATGAACTGATACGAAGGAAATTTTCGATCCTCGACAAATCGAAGTGAAAGATACTTTTTCTCAATAAACATTATGATCTGTGTTATGTGAAATTAAACGAACCATCGCACCGTGACAGTGAAATTGAACGGAAGGAAAGATCAGTAATTAGAATTTCGAAAATGCGTACTACGGTTCCACCACAAGGATTCAAACCGTTTCGACGTAGCGTCACGGCGCCCCATGTCGGGACTACCATTGATTACAGGAATAAACTGGTGAGCATATAATTTTCAGTATAAATAGAATTTTTTTTCCTTTCAACGAACCCAATGACATTATATCGAAATTATCAGTGATCATTTTCAATATCTTGCTTACAGTGATGCGAATGATATCCCATATGCCATCCTCGTCATTGCTCTTGGTAGTTGATCAGGTATGAACTGTCGGAGGTCGTTGAGCCCCCCCAAGATATTTTTAGACTCATCCTGAACTGCTTTTCACCTCGAGGAACTTCTACCTGGTCGATCCGATTCAAAGATGTCTCTTGAAGGTTCTTTGTGTTCCCAGCGGGATTCTATCTTGAAAATGCTCTTTGTAACCCTAAGCCATTTGAATATAGAATACGTGCTTTATAGAAACGAAAGAAATCGTAGCTGAAGTCGGACATTTTTTCTTACGCCTGCATCTCTTAATCGCCTTCAGATCGTCTTGCAAGATCAGCGAGACAGGATCCAAATTTCCTAATTCAATCCTGCCAACTGGTTCCCTCGCTCTATTATCAAGGTACATATCCGTCTTGTATTATGCAATCCCGACAACGCTAAAAATTTTTATTTTCTTTATCTACTGATCGAACCTGTCGAACGGCCCGATAATGGCAGATCGCTTCTAAGAAATGTTTGCCTCGTCGTTCTGCTCAAATATTGGAGATGAATTATCGACGTTCTCCGATAGCAACGATTACCGGATAAGACCCGTCAGGCGTCCCTGTGCGAGTTTACGTAGACCCATAGGCGGGTACGCAACAGGACGAAGGAAATAAAAGAAGAGACAGAAAATGGTATAAAAATAAAATTCCTCCGAGCACCCAACATTTATATTGTCTACGATCATCGATCATGGATCATCGACGATCGCCTTTGACTTTTCCGACTTAACGATCCACCCACGCGTCAGCCTTGGCCAACTGCCGCGACGTTCTTTTTTTTCACTCTCAGCGACACGACGGCGCACCTGAGAATCGCGCTGCGCTGCATTACCGCGCATGCGCACGCAACTTTTACACTCCGCACCAGTACCCTATCCGAACAAGCGTCGATGGGGTTACGCATAATTTACGCGTTATGCCCTAATTACCACCCGTCAATGCTCCGTACACGCGTCTCTGTCTAATTATTATTCCGTCCTATCAGACGCTATCCACTTGGAAACTCGCCAGAAGCAAGAGTCCTGCTCTCTGAGAACCGTTCGAAAAATTTATCGAAATTTTCATATTTTCGCAAAAACAGATTTTCACCTGTACACCGGTACACTATATACGCTCTGATACGTATAAGCTGTATTTTTCATTATAAATAACCTTGCACAGGATTATCGGTGACCAGTCCACCTAATCTCTTCGCAAGGACGGCGTTATGCTTTTCTAACTGTTCCCGTAGGTATACTAATATTTCCTTCCTCTATTTTGCTTCGCTCTCGAATCGGTACTCTGTCCTGAGATAGGACGCGAGATAAGCACGCACCATATCGAGGTCATGTCAATTGCCCTAGGACAGATTGAACGTATGGATGGAGCATAAGGCAAGACAATGCTCTTACGTGTATGCATACATATAGGTATAGTCGGGCGTCATCCCGGTAATGCTCGAGCATCCCTGTAGATCAACTTCACGGAACGTTGACTAGGAGCTATTTCTATCGTTCAAGGATGCTGCAGAGAGACCCAAGGACTCCGTGGACCATATTTCGAAATATTCTCAAGCCCCTTGCACGCGATAAAAAATAAATGCTTGTACCAACTTTTTTCGGTTGTTCCTTCGGACTCACGTGCAAGCGAGAACGGGTCATGTATATTGTGGTAGGTCACGTCGGCACTTGTGTGCCTTATTAGTTGCGCCTTCAGCCCAGGGAGTTCACGGGGACGAAGAAATTATCTGAACTTTGTTGCGTTTCACGCTGCCAGCGAATTCGTCGATGTTATTCAATCGAGTCTTGTTTACTTCGCTTAGTAACGTTCTAGCTTATCGCTCTCGTGCACGGCCGCCTTTACCATTCGGTCGGCTTTCCTTTGATGAGCTTTTTCATCGTCCATTCTTTCTCTTCTTACTTATCTTTTCTTTCTCTCTCGCTATCTGTCTCACTTTTTATCTGTGTATGTATATATATGTATATATACTTTTTTTCTCGCATTCCTTATGCCCCTCGCGATACCGCTTTGCCACCGTTGCGCAACTACTTCGTCCTCATAGATTACGATAGTTGCCAATTAACGTTCCCGCTAATTGCGCGATCGATCAAAAGCTACTCGAGACTTTGGAACATCCATTGGGTCGCGGATATATATTTTTTTCTTTTTCATTTTTTTTTTCATTTTTTTTTTTTCATTTTTTTTCACCCGTATATTGCTTCTTCGTCAGGCCCAGGCGCGATTTTACGAGAATTTACATTCCGGTAATTAATGCAGGTGCTAATGGCCAATGGTAGCCTTTTTTTTTTCCCTTTTACATAAATTTTTAATCGAATCTAGTTACCTTGGTTGGGATTAATTGTTTCCCGGAAATGGCTGTGATTAAGTGTGGTCTGAAGCACTCTGGTCTCTTCTGTCTAATTATTTTGTAGTAATGGATGGTCTTACAGCTGGGTTTTTTTTTTATTTTTTTTTTTTATTTATAAATGAGATTCAATTACTGGCACAGGACGAGCAGCGCGTGGTAACAGGAAGTGGGATTCGAGTATGATCGATATGGAAATATCAATAGGTCGACTGACATAATCGATTTGTGCTTGGTTAAATCGTTTGAAACAGTAACGAGTCATTAGGCCAAGTCGCCACCGAGCGACTTTCTTTCCGTGAAAAATCGCAAAAGTTCAAAGCAGCTAACTCCGAGGGTCAATTAACGTCGCGTGTTCGTAGTCTGGCCGTATTAACTCGAGAAAACCATAAGTAATCGCAAGATGAATCGGCGTCGCGACACATGTGGGTCAACTTCAGTGTTTACGATTGCCATGTATACAGGGTGGGACAATTATAGTGACCAGGTAAATTTTTTCGGAAACGAAGCGGGATATGAAAAAAAAATTTTCGTACAGAACTTGTAAGGTTTCGAAGGGTGGACCGAGTGCAGACGATAAGATAATTCGAAGGTGAACTTTGATTTTTTTTTTTAATGGGATGACGCTATGTGTCTTCCGGAAACGAAATGACCATTTTATTTCGAGTCTAAAAGTACAAACGCACTTATGACCGAGAATTGACAGGCGACAAGTAATTTGAAAAAAAAAAACAATATACACATATGCACTTGACCAACGACGTAGATTTACCAGCGTGTAATGATATACGTCTAAAAGATCTATGAAAAAATATCTATTTCGCCCGGGGTCACAGGTCATCCTACATTCGCAAAATGATGAAAACGATACTTCACCTTGGATACTCGATAAAATACCAAGCGACTCTCAATGCTTTCCATATACGTAAGAACCAGCAGTGCACTTTTTTTTTTTTCTTCAGCGTGTCTTAAGGATCTTACGTAAACTGCATAGTCTATGGCGGTTAACGATTGATTAACGTCCGACTCCCGATAGGAGCCACGGAACTCGAGAGTTGCAAAACCCGTGGGATCCGTCACTTGGAGAAGACTTGACAGTCGGGAAAACTTGACGCATCCCGTACGGTCCCACGGTTCGTCTCGATCGCATCTCCCGCGATTGCAGTTGCACTGGGCTCGTCCAGTCAAGCGCGATTTATCCGGGTTGCGTACGTAAAACAAATTGACACGCGGTGTCGGGCGTCTCGGTACGGATGCTGCGAAAATCAACGGGTCACTCCGGTCCATGGAAAAATAAGAACCCAGTGACTCTCCCGGAGTGCATTCGCTGTTTTTTAGGCGAAATTTTTTTATTCAGGAAAATCTGCATCCCATACGGTCCAACGGTTCATCTCGATCGCATCTCCCGCGATTGCAGTTGCACTGGGCTCGTCCAGTCAAGCGCGATTTATCCGGGTTGCGTACGTAAAACAAATTGACACGCGGTGTCGGGCGTCTCGGTACGGATGCTGCGAAAATCAACGGGTCACTCCGGTCCAAGGAAAAACAAGAACCCAGTGACTCTCCCGGAGTGCATTCACTGTTTTTCATGCGATCAGAATGCACTTTTTATCTCGCGTGCATCACCGGGTAAAAATTTTACGTACGGAACCGATATCATCTCATATGGTCCATACGAGTCCATATAGATCACTTTTCGTAATCCATGTATCGATGTGCCATTTTAATGATTTAATTTGCAATATGCAATTTTGCTTGCACTTTTTTTTTCTTCAATTATTCGTAAATATTCCTTTATCTTGTCTCTTATCAATTTTATAAATTCTCGCACCCATCTTGTAACGTGTGTTAATTGTAACGATACCATTGTATTTGCTTGAATAGCAAGTAACATCGATACACCAATCGTGTCCCATGGCTGCATGCACGTTGCCTTATCAGCAGTGCAGTGTTTGGAAATGCGAGAGGGCGCGCGCGTTGCGCGGTATTAAATTGTAGCTTCGCCTTATCGCGACCAAGGTGCAAGACAGTCGGGGCGATTGGATTTATCGCGTCCCGACGCCGCCACGATCGGCGTAACACGATTTGATCATATTATGCCGATTCACAACGCAGCCTTTTCCCGTACAAGTCAGAGATTACATT